GTCGAAAATTGCGATAAAATCGCTGAATTGGTCGAAAGAGACCGGCTTAGTAGCAGCCGTAGCATCGGTCAAGAGCTGGGCATGAGTCATCAAACCGTTATAAACCATTTGAAGAAGCTTGGAGTCACTAAGAAGCTCGATGTATGGGTGCCACACGAATTGACGCAAAAAAACATCTTTGACCGTATCGACGCATGCGAATAGCTTCTAAAACGCAACAAAATCGACCCGTTTTTGAAGAGTATGGTGACTGGCGATGAAAAGTGGGCCACTTACGATAACGTAAGGCGCAAACGGTCGTGGTCGAAAAGCGGTGAAGCGGCCCAGACGGTGGCCAAGCCTGGATTGACGGCCAGGAAGGTTCTTCTGTGTGTTTGGTGGGATTGGCAGGGAATAATCCACTATGAGCTGCTTTTCTTTTAAGTCGTTCGTGAGTTATAGCGTCACAATCATGGAGCAAAATAAAGAGAAATTACGGCATATTTTACAGTACTACTACGATAAAGGCAAAAATGCATCTCAAGCCGCCAATAAAATTTGTGCAGTTTATGGACCCGATACAGTTTCCATTTCCACCGCACAACGATGGTATCAACGTTTTCGTTCTGGTGTAGAGGTGGTCGAAGATGCGCCACGCTCGGGAAGGCCTGTCGTCGAAAATTGCGATAAAATCGCTGAATTGGTCGAAAGAGACCGGCTTAGTAGCAGCCGTAGCATCGGTCAAGAGCTGGGCATGAGTCATCAAACCGTTATAAACCATTTGAAGAAGCTTGGAGTCACTAAGAAGCTCGATGTATGGGTGCCACACGAATTGACGCAAAAAAACATCTTTGACCGTATCGACGCATGCGAATAGCTTCTAAAACGCAACAAAATCGACCCGTTTTTGAAGAGTATGGTGACTGGCGATGAAAAGTGGGCCACTTACGATAACGTAAGGCGCAAACGGTCGTGGTCGAAAAGCGGTGAAGCGGCCCAGACGGTGGCCAAGCCTGGATTGACGGCCAGGAAGGTTCTTCTGTGTGTTTGGTGGGATTGGCAGGGAATAATCCACTATGAGCTGCTTTTCTTTTAAGTCGTTCGTGAGTTATAGCGTCACAATCATGGAGCAAAGTAAAGAGAAATTACGGCATATTTTACAGTACCACTACGATAAAGGCAAAAATGCATCTCAAGCCGCCAACAAAATTTGTGCAGTTTATGGACCCGATACAGTTTCCATTTCCACCGCACAACGATGGTATCAACGTTTTCGTTCTGGTGTAGAGGTGGTCGAAGATGCGCCACGCTCGGGAAGGCCTGTCGTCGAAAATTGCGATAAAATCGCTGAATTGGTCGAAAGAGACCGGCTTAGTAGCAGCCGTAGCATCGGTCAAGAGCTGGGCATGAGTCATCAAACCGTTATAAACCATTTGAAGAAGCTTGGAGTCACTAAGAAGCTCGATGTATGGGTGCCACACGAATTGACGCAAAAAAACATCTTTGACCGTATCGACGCATGCGAATAGCTTCTAAAACGCAACAAAATCGACCCGTTTTTGAAGAGTATGGTGACTGGCGATGAAAAGTGGGCCACTTACGATAACGTAAGGCGCAAACGGTCGTGGTCGAAAAGCGGTGAAGCGGCCCAGACGGTGGCCAAGCCTGGATTGACGGCCAGGAAGGTTCTTCTGTGTGTTTGGTGGGATTGGCAGGGAATAATCCACTATGAGCTGCTTTTCTTTTAAGTCGTTCGTGAGTTATAGCGTCACAATCATGGAGCAAAGTAAAGAGAAAATACGGCATATATTTTACAGTACTACTACGATAAAGGCAAAAATGCATCTCAAGCCGCCAACAAAATTTGTGCAGTTTATGGACCCGATACAGTTTCCATTTCCACCGCACAACGATGGTATCAACGTTTTCGTTCTGGTGTAGAGGTGGTCGAAGATGCGCCACGCTCGGGAAGGCCTGTCGTCGAAAATTGCGATAAAATCGCTGAATTGGTCGAAAGAGACCGGCTTAGTAGCAGCCGTAGCATCGGTCAAGAGCTGGGCATGAGTCATCAAACCGTTATAAACCATTTGAAGAAGCTTGGAGTCACTAAGAAGCTCGATGTATGGGTGCCACACGAATTGACGCAAAAAAACATCTTTGACCGTATCGACGCATGCGAATAGCTTCTAAAACGCAACAAAATCGACCCGTTTTTGAAGAGTATGGTGACTGGCGATGAAAAGTGGGCCACTTACGATAACGTAAGGCGCAAACGGTCGTGGTCGAAAAGCGGTGAAGCGGCCCAGACGGTGGCCAAGCCTGGATTGACGGCCAGGAAGGTTCTTCTGTGTGTTTGGTGGGATTGGCAGGGAATAATCCACTATGAGCTGCTTTTCTTTTAAGTCGTTCGTGAGTTATAGCGTCACAATCATGGAGCAAAATAAAGAGAAATTACGGCATATTTTACAGTACTACTACGATAAAGGCAAAAATGCATCTCAAGCCGCCAATAAAATTTGTGCAGTTTATGGACCCGATACAGTTTCCATTTCCACCGCACAACGATGGTATCAACGTTTTCGTTCTGGTGTAGAGGTGGTCGAAGATGCGCCACGCTCGGGAAGGCCTGTCGTCGAAAATTGCGATAAAATCGCTGAATTGGTCGAAAGAGACCGGCTTAGTAGCAGCCGTAGCATCGGTCAAGAGCTGGGCATGAGTCATCAAACCGTTATAAACCATTTGAAGAAGCTTGGAGTCACTAAGAAGCTCGATGTATGGGTGCCACACGAATTGACGCAAAAAAACATCTTTGACCGTATCGACGCATGCGAATAGCTTCTAAAACGCAACAAAATCGACCCGTTTTTGAAGAGTATGGTGACTGGCGATGAAAAGTGGGCCACTTACGATAACGTAAGGCGCAAACGGTCGTGGTCGAAAAGCGGTGAAGCGGCCCAGACGGTGGCCAAGCCTGGATTGACGGCCAGGAAGGTTCTTCTGTGTGTTTGGTGGGATTGGCAGGGAATAATCCACTATGAGCTGCTTTTCTTTTAAGTCGTTCGTGAGTTATAGCGTCACAATCATGGAGCAAAGTAAAGAGAAATTACGGCATATTTTACAGTACCACTACGATAAAGGCAAAAATGCATCTCAAGCCGCCAATAAAATTTGTGCAGTTTATGGACCCGATACAGTTTCCATTTCCACCGCACAACGATGGTATCAACGTTTTCGTTCTGGTGTAGAGGTGGTCGAAGATGCGCCACGCTCGGGAAGGCCTGTCGTCGAAAATTGCGATAAAATCGCTGAATTGGTCGAAAGAGACCGGCTTAGTAGCAGCCGTAGCATCGGTCAAGAGCTGGGCATGAGTCATCAAACCGTTATAAACCATTTGAAGAAGCTTGGAGTCACTAAGAAGCTCGATGTATGGGTGCCACACGAATTGACGCAAAAAAACATCTTTGACCGTATCGACATGCGTAATAGCTTCTAAATCGCAACAAAATCGACCCGTTTTGAAGAGTATGGTTACTGGCGATACTACTACGATAAAGGCAAAAATGCATCTCAAGCCGCCAATAAAATTTGTGCAGTTTATGGACCCGATACAGTTTCCATTTCCACCGCACAACGATGGTATCAACGTTTTCGTTCTGGTGTAGAGGTGGTCGAAGATGCGCCACGCTCGGGAAGGCCTGTCGTCGAAAATTGCGATAAAATCGCTGAATTGGTCGAAAGAGACCGGCTTAGTAGCAGCCGTAGCATCGGTCAAGAGCTGGGCATGAGTCATCAAACCGTTATAAACCATTTGAAGAAGCTTGGAGTCACTAAGAAGCTCGATGTATGGGTGCCACACGAATTGACGCAAAAAAACATCTTTGAACAAAATCGACCCGTTTTTGAAGAGTATGGTGACTAGCGATGAAAAGTGGGCCACTTACGATAACGTAAGGCGCAAACGGTCGTGGTCGAAAAGCGGTGAAGCGGCCCAGACGGTGGTTAAGCCTGGATTGACGGCCAGGAAGGTTCTTCTGTGTGTTTGGTGGGATTGGCAGGGAATAATCCACTATGAGCTGCTCCCCTATGGCCAAACGCTCAATTCGGACCTGTACTGCCAACAACTGTACCGCTTGAAGACAGCACTCATGCAGACGAGGCCATCTTTGATCGTCAGAGGCCGAATTGTCTTCCACCAGGACAACGCCAGGCCACACACATCTTTAGTGACGCGCCAGAAGCTCCGGGAGCTCGGATGGGAGGTTCTTTTGCATCCACCGTATACTCCGGATCTCGCACCAAGTGATTACCACCTGTTTCTGTCCATGGCGAACGCGCTTGGTAGTCTGAAGTTGGCCACAAGGCCTGTGAAAATTGGCTCTCCGAGTTTTTTGCCAATAGGGAAGCGAGCAATATGAAGTTGGCATCTCGTTGGGAACGCGTCATTGAACAAAACGGCGCATATTTCACTTGAATCGCATTATTGTATCCAATTTTATGAACAATTAAAAATTCAATAAAAATACCGCACGACTTTTTTGACAACCTAATATAAAATTTTTCCCCCGTCGGTTATTTCCGTACGGCAAATAGTATTTCAGGAACTCTTCGACCAATTCTTTTCTGATACTTTTAGGAACGCCGGTACGGAGAACTATTGAGAATCTTGGCTGAAGTCCACTTCGCTAGGCTAGGGACTTCCATATTGGTAGAGACGCGCTCCCTGATCATCACCCTGTTGGACACCCGATGGTATTAGATGCTGAATCTTATGTCATCTGTTGACGGATACCAATACACGCTCAACACTTTTTGCTCGGATACTGGACTCGTCGTTTTCGTTGGTAACTTGCTAATTTCACTCTGAAGCTGAGCTGTCTATGTAATCTCGATTTTATCCTCAGCTTAAAGCTTATTGGCAAGCAAACCCCTATGCTCCGAGCATTTTCAAAAACGAAAGATGCGTTAAGCATCTCTGATAAAAAACTTTAAAGTTGTGTACCATCAAACAATACATTTACATATTCACTCAGGCATGGTTTATATATATTGTTTTCAAATTACATAATTTTATGCAAAATTTCAGTTAAATGTACAATTAAGCATAAACATCGCGCTGAGTTTTTTCCCAAGCGGCTATTGGACCATGCTCAGGACGATATTTTACATTGCAGCCATCAGGCTCAAGGCGATTATCATCGCGGAGTTCCTCATAGCGCTCACGTTCGTACTTGGTGAAACCCCACTTCTTGGAAACATAAATCTAAAAAAAAAATTGAAAACTGAATTATTTAGTAATCAAGAAATCTAGCGAAGTAAAAAAGGTAATAGTAATTGATATGTGGAGTCTTCTACAATGTTCGCAACTATCGCAACTAAATGCCAAAATTACCCTTTATTATACCCGTTAATTGTAGAGTAAAAGGATATATTAGATTCGTTGAACAGTATGTAACAGGTAACAGAATGAAGCGTTTCCGACCCTATAAAGTATATGTATTCTTGATTAGGATCAATAGCGAAAACGATTGAGCCATGTCCGTCTGTCCGTGTGAACGCTGAGATCTCAGGAACTACAGTGGATCGCAGCTTATTTCGTGCAGCTACCAAAAAAAAGTTTGAGTTGTTATTGCTGCTAAACCAAAAAAGATTTAAAAAAAATTAAAACGCAGTTTTTTAACAGGGAATTTTAACATGCTTTTTAAACGATTTTCAAAATCATAAAAACAAAAAACTTGTTATAAAAACAAAAAAATTTAGCACCTGATGAGCCAGGACTTCACTTTTCTTGCTCAACGCTGCGGATCGTTGACCTGGTAAAATCGAAAACGATCGAAAAATTAAGGAAAACCCCAAGCTATCGGTTCCAAAAAAAGCTCCAGAGGTCGAAGACGAAATGGGCAAGAAGTGTATTCCTGATACAGTGCGTCTTGTGCTGCGCGATATTAATTTCACGGCTCGAGAAGCACGGCAGAAGCCATTTATCAGTAAGAAAAATATTGCTGTTCGGCTGAAGCTTACAAAGGAGCCATACATACAGTCAGCACATAATTTGTTCGTACACCCATGAGTTGCAAGTTTATTCCGTAATACCTCGAGTAATACTTAGCTGAATTTAAAATGCAATATCTCAAAAGAAAGATATACATTTGGAGCACATATTTTAATAATTAAATTAACAAGTTTTAACATAAAAACCATATAATTTTATAACACAAAAGTCATTTTTTACGCACAAAAATTATTTCCCAGCACAACATCTACAACAATTCTTAAAACTCTAGCGAATCCTACAGAAAAAAAATTTTGTACCCAAACCATCCGGAACACCCTGCACAATGCTGGTATACATGGTAGAGTTGTTCGAAAAAACCCATTGATTTATAATTATAACAAAAAAATGCGTTTGGAGATAGCAAAAGACCATGTAGTCAAGCCGGAATCAATTTGGGGAACGTTATATTTATTGACTTATCAAAAATTAAAAATTTTGGACACGGCGGTCCCTTTTAAATACAGGGATCGCAGCTTATTTCGTGCAGCTACCAAAAAAGTTTAAGTTGTTAGTCCTGCTAAACTAAAAGAGATATCAAAATTTGAACGCAGTTTTTTAACAGGGAATATTATTTCCCTGCATATTAATTATAATACATGCATATTAAACTAAAACGATTTTCATAATCATAAAAACAAAAAACTTATGTAATAAAAACAAACAAGAGGAAACGCTATAGTCGAGTGCCGCGACTATAAGATACCCATTACTGTTTTACAAAATTTTAAAATATTATTTTGCTAGTGGAAATTCACAAGGCGCCACCTATTGTCAGAGGAAGTATGTTGAGTATGCTTATAGTGACGTCACTGCCCATGTGAGGCCTTATAACCTTAATTCTTTATAAATAGCGAAATAATGTTCCGATTTGAAAAATCTTTGGTAAATCTATAGATATTAACAGAAATAAGTTATACAAGGTCAAACGAAGGCATTCATAATAATTTTATAGACGCCACAGTTTCCTGCGGTTTGTGAGCGTTAGAGTGAACGTGGCCGGATGCAACTTCGTGGCAAGTTGCAGAGGCATCTCTTAAATACGTGTTCCTAAGCAACATTTTGTAGCTCTTATAGTTTTTAAGATTTTTGCATTTTTGGTTTTTCGGGTTTTGTGGGCGTGGCTTGATCGGGACAACAATTTGCAATGGGAGCATCATAAAAACCTACATGTTTAATCCGAACTTTCTATCTCTTATAGTTACCGAGATATCAGCTTTTCTAGAAAATCCGAAAACCGTCTTTTGAGCCTTTTTTGCATATGGGTGGGTGTGGCCGGATAGTAGAACCATTATAAGATGCGCTGGCATCAAAAGATTATACTTTCTGAATTTCAACTTTCTAGCTCCAATATTTCCCGAGATTTCAGCAATTTTAGTTTTTTTGTGATTTGTGGACGTTAGAGTGGGCATGGCAGAATGCTGTAATAAACTTGCGCTGTCCCGGGACCTCAAGAATCTTCATGGTTAATCTCTACTTTGTATCTGTTATACTTCCTGAGATCTCAGCGTTCATGCGGACGGACAGACGGACATGGCTGAATCGACTGTGCTATTGATCCTGATCAAGAATATATATACTTTCTAGGGTCGGAAACGCTTCCTTCTATCGGTTACATACTTTTCAACAAATCTAGTATACCCTTTTACTCTACGAGTAACCGGTATAAAAATTCAGCCTTTTATCATGCCGCATTTATTTCTACTTAACTTGTTATTTGGAATTGAACAGCTAATTTTTTTTTGTATGTCATATTTTGTGGTTCAGGACAGCTTTAAGATGATTTTTTTTTTATTAAATCTACATACTGTACTGGCGGTATATCCACATGAGGGAAGCTCCTGATAAGCAGGACTTCACTTTTCCTGCTGAATGCTGCGTATCGTTGACCTGGTAAATTTGAAAACGATCGGAAAATTAAGAAAAACCCCAAGCTATCGGCTTTAGAGGTCGAGGACGAAATGGGCAAGATGTGTATACCTGATACGGTGCCAAAATTTACTTCGAAGTGCCCTTAAGCTTGGACAGAATCCATCGTCTTTCGTATTTCAAGATAACGATCACGGCAAGAAGCAAAAAAAAAAAAAAACCGACTCTACAATCACCAGATTTGAATCCCGTATGGGAATGGAATTGTTGTTTTTTTTTTTCAACATTTTATGAAGTATACGAATAATTCTGACTCTTTTGTGTTATTAAGGAAATTATCTAGTATTTAAGGTAAAACTTGTTAATTTTATGTTTAAAATATATGCTGGAAATGTATATCTTTCGTTTAAGAGATTGCATTCCGTTACGAATTTCTCGAGATATTAAGGAATAAATTTGCAGCTAATGGGTGTACGAATAAATTATGTGCCGACTGTACTTTTACATAATACATTATAAATTTTGATTCTAGAAGTAACGGACATAATCATTATTTATAGCAAATACACTTAAGGTCTGAACACTAAGCTAACTACCAGCTTTTGTGTGTTTGGCTTACATGCAGAATGGTCTGAAGTTCCCACCTGAACGTAAAGATGGCTTTACTCGTTAATGAAACTAGTGAACGTAGTTGTGCATCCTTCAACAGTGCAGTTTTTAGTTGATAGCCGTTTCAGTGATTAAATGTTGGGTGCCGCGTTTGCTTATAAACTATTAAGAAACTTTTTTTTTTCGATTCTGTTTTAGTCTTTATATGGAAATCCTTTTATTATAATTTATTTTTTAATATTTTTAAAATGTCCTGCAATAAATTGACCTTTGAGGTCACCTATTTAACCTTTTTGGACTTCTTTTTTTTAGTCTGAGCTTGTGAAAATGATTTCAGTTCCCAAGTCTGGAAATTATCTGTGAAGCATGCCTACAATGGAAGGTTGGTATCATTGGAATCACGGATGCGAAACTGGATGTGGAACTCTGTCCACTGTCTAGCAGCAAAAAAAAAAAGGGATGAAACAGAAAAGATTCAATAAATAATTTAAAGATTTATGTTGTCTTAAATAGAGTGCACAATATAAGTTAACGCTTGTGTAGGGCAATTTATTTAAAACAAGAGGAAACGATATAGTCGAGTGCCGCGACAATACGATACCCGTTACTGTCTTACACAATTTTAAAATATTAATTTTACTAGTGGAAACTCCCCAAGCGCCACCTAGATGACAGCTAGGGGAAAGTTGCAGTGCCATCTCTAACATACGTATTCTTAAGCACAACTTTCAAGCTCTTACAGTTCCCGAGATTTTCGCATTTTTGGTTTTTAAAATTTTGTGGGCGCGGCTAGATCAGATATTCGCATAAGGGACATTATAAAAACCTACATGCCTAATCCGAACTTTCTATCACCTATAGTTACCGAGATGTCAGCTTTTCTATAAAATGCCTTCATACGGACGGACGGACAGACGAGCATGGCTCAATCGAATTCGCTATTCATCCTGATCAAGTACATATATTACTTTATAGGGTCGGAAACGCTTCCTTGTACCTCTTACATACTTTTCAACATAAAGTTGTAAATACACCATTACAAAATCCCAGAATAACATCTACAACAATTCTTAAAGCCCCAAGAAGCCTTCAGAAAAAAAATTTTGTTCCCAAACCATCCGGAACACCCTGCACAATGCTGGTATACATGGTAGTTGTTCGTAAAAACCCATCGATTTTTGATTATAAAAAAAAATGCGTTTGGAGATCGCAAAAGTGCATACCAAAATTTAATTCCAAGTGCTCTTAAACTTGGACAGAATCCAGCGTTTTTCGTATTTCAATAAGATAACGACCCGAAATATTTGTCGTATTTAGTGCTTTTATATCAATGTAAGGAGCAAAAACCGATACTACAATCATCGTCCAGAAAAGAACATATCCTCGAAGGAATCCTTAAAAACCGCATTAATACCTGAATGGGATTTAATTGATGCTGACGAGACGAGCAACTTTATAAAAAGCATGTGTCGACGTTTACAAGCTTTCATTAAAGCCAACGAAGGACCCACTAAAGATTAAAATCTTTAAATCTTTGGAATTGTTGTTTATATTCAACATCATATGAAGTGTACGATTAATTTTTGTTCGTAAAAAAATGACTTTTGTGTATGCTCGAAATGTAGATCTTGAATTTGAGGTATTACATTTTAATTTCCGTTACGTATTTCTCGAGATATTAGGAAATAAACTTGCAATTCATGGGTGTACGAATGAATTATGTGCAGACTGTAAATACTGCTATCCTGCTATCTGTTACATACTTTTCAACGAATCTAGTATACCCTTTTACTCTACGAGTGACGGATATAAAAATGATGTCAACTATAACATTAAGAATATGAATATATGGTCTAAACAGTTTCAGAATTCGTTACTTTGATGTAATGTGAATACAGTCTCATTATTGTAGTAATCAACAGATGATGAATTGATTGGCAATCCTCTCATATCCAAAACCTTTCTTAATGCGTTTGTTTAACAGCTGTTATTTTAAAGAAAATCACTATTATGTTAAGCCCCATGAGGTCAGTTTACAGTTAATGGTATTTCTTCTCACCCTTAATGTTATATCTAATACAAAAAATACTGACCTTCTGACGTCCGGGGAACTTGAATTTCGCACGTCGCAAGGCTTCAATAACTTGAGCCTTATAACGATCGCTTGAACGGACCGACATAATGGGTTGACCAATACGAACTCTAGCAACAGTGCCCTGTGGCTTGCCAAACGCTCCTCTCATTCCAGTTTGAAGCCTACAAAACATATAAATGTAAAATTTCTTCGTTTAGGCTTCACTAAAATAATAAATAAATCTCATATTACATAAAATTGGTATCTTATTTACCTATCAGCTCCAGCGCACGACAACATTTTATTGATCCGAATGACGTGGAATGGATGCAGTCGCATTCTGATATGAAACTGGTCCTTACCACAGTATTTAACCAAATACTTGTTGCAACAAATACGCCCAGCTTCCAAAGCTTCACTGCTTAGCTGTTCATATTCATCGGAAACTAAGTGAACGCAAAGAGGAAAATCTTCGACAGTAGCCTTTTTCCTCCCCAAATCGAATATACGAATCTTGGGATCAGGAACACCACGACAAAATCGTGATTTGGGATACGGCTTATTTTTGCAATAGCGGTAGCTGTAAATATATTTACTTATAAGTGTATACATACTTTAGAAGAACGGTTTCTTCTACTCACCATCTTGCTGGTCGTCGGCCCATTTTCACACCTGGAATAAACTTTTTTAAATATTTTTATATAGAGCTAAAAAATCTCTGTACTCGCAATCTTATTAAAATTTGTATATGTTATAACAAAAGATGGAAACGGATTATTACGTATGTATGCATACCTCTTCCAACAAAGCGCACGACAAAAAGGAAATAAAATTAGACGGAAGCAGCACAGTTATCGACGGAATTCACACATCTATCACGACGCTAACTTAACCTTTTTTTTTAGCTTAGATACGAATGGAATAGAAACGGTCATGTTAATGTGTTCTCACTAAGCCCGTTTAGAATTGACTTCTGCTTCCATTAATGGTGAAAACCAATATTAAATAAATGGGATAAAATAATATTAGGTCAGGCATAACATTCTTGTTCCGTTGGTTAGCATCGGAAATGAAAATGTAGAATGTATTTTGTGTTAATGCTAATACCTACAGATAAATATACATAATTATATACTTAAACAATTTGTAAGTTTAAAAAAAATAATTTTTTTTATGAAACCGAATTATTACAAAATGTTTATAATGAAGAACACCGACCGAATAGTTTTGTGACTCAAACTGAACTCAATTCTTAATTCTAATTTCGCTTACAATTATGCCTTGGTTTTGAGCTTTGGAACTTTCTATGACTGTAATTCATTTTATTTGAGTGATAATTGGAGTTATTCCCGATTGAATCGGTAGGTAGATTCGCGACTTGGGTCCCGAATTTGTTTATGTCTGTGGTCTTTGAAATGAGAGTGTCCAATAATGTGGGGGCGAGTCGATAGTGGAATAGCGGCTCGTCTGGGAAATGTCCATTGTTTAGAATTTGAAGCGTGTGAAGTTTTGGGTGCATATGTAATTTGATATGTGGTGGGATTAGGTGTATAAGTAGGCATGTGTTAAAGTCTGTGGGACTGTGGATATGTCACTCCCCCAACCTTTGAATTTGGCCTGTCCTCAGGCCAAATTCATGATACTTCATGATATTGTTTTCCGGAATGATCTGATCATTTACAATTTTGTCCGGAATCGGTTGTTCTTCTTGTGTTTCCTTATATTATATATATACACTCTTAAATTTTTAAATGACATACAGGATTAAACTTAAAATTGTAATGACAAAAGATATAAGACATATGATTTGGGACACGTTGTAATATTTTACATGGGATTCTATTATTACCTTTGTTTGAATGTATACCAAAGGTTCTATTTTGGTTACGTTGTTAACAGTATAAATTGGCTCTGTAAATCTGCAAAGTTGTTTGAAATTATAAATTCATCTATTTCCATAGTACAATTCTTGATTTTAATAATCTTGTTTCCTTGTATAGAAACTCTGTTGTTTATACAGTTTTGATTAACAAGTGTTTCTGGGATATTCCATGTGATTAAATGATTAAAATTTCATTTGTGTTTGTTTTAAGCCAAGTGGATGCTTTAATTTTTAACATTTTCTCGGAATTTTCTTGTTTCAAATAATCATGCTTAAGTAATTTCGAATTAAAAATTCCTAGTCTCGTGAGTTGTATACCCATTTCTATATCGCCTATATATTCAGTGAATTGTCGTAAGTTGAAAATTAGTACGGATATTTGTAATCTCCTTCTCTACTTTGAATTTGTTTATGATATCTATTCCGCTGTTAATCACATCTATAATCATATTCAAATAATGATTCTGAACGGAATTTTGTGACAGATTGTTAATCTTTTCTTCTAACTCATCCCTGTTATCTTGATCCAGTGTTCCGAATAAATATTTGTACGTCGTTCCTACAATATTTATCAGACCTCATTTGTTTCTCTTAATTATTCTTAAACCATTTATTTCCCTTTTTAGTTTTAGGACTAAGTCCTCCATTTGTATTACATTAGGAAAACATTTGGCTTCTTCCACTTCTCAAACATTAACATTCATGGATAGCTCTGGATTTATTGTATTTGCTAGGGTTAGTCTTCTTTTGCTTCTTGAATTTGGACTTGTAGTGTACGACTTTCCTGCCTCTATTTGTTTCTTCAAAGTTTTGTCGCCCACCTGTTTAATCTGACCTGTCTTTTTAAATGGGTTGGTCACCTTACTTTTAACTAGTGGGGATTGCCCGTATTTCGTATCAACTTCATAACTATGTCTGTTTTTGTTTAGATTGTTAATTTTGTCGACTTTATGTGACTTTATGTGACTTTATATGCTTCCTGCGTATAGAAAGATATCTGCTAGGGTTCATTTAGTGGTGTTGTTCTTTGTTTTATGGTTATAAATGTATAAGATTGTTTCAAATCTTGTACATTAATCTTCTATATTCGGCTCTTTTTCGATAATTCTGAGTTTTTTTTTACTATTTTATGAAACCTTTCTATATCAGATACACCATTTTTACTTGTTGTGATAGCTATTTCTATACCTTCTGATCTTAACCAATTTTGTAATGCTATACACATAAAAGCAGAAACTTTGTCCGCTTTAATTTCTTGCGGCTTTCCCATATCATTGCATACCTTGCTCTCTTCGCTTTCTTACTTTTTACTTCAGTTAAGGTACCGAATTTTGAAAAATATCTATGCATGCATTTCAAATACGAATTTCCTATTCCTATGTTCGGTTTTAGATATGTTGCAAATTTCGCACTCATTAATTATGTTTTGAATGAGTTTCTGACTGTCAGGATAGTAAAATTTATCTTTGAACCAATTAACAGTTTTCTCTATACCTGGGTGTACCAGTTCTTTAGGTTTCTTTAAGGTTAAATCTTTAAATTCTGCGTATTTCAGAATATCGGTTAACTTCTGAGTACTTTGCAAAATTTTGTGGAGTTATTGGGACTTATAATTTCAATATATGCTCTTTGGAAAATTAAAAAGTCGTCGTTATCTTGGAAAGATCGTGATTTCTTTATATGTGATTTTAATTTTTAACTTCTCATGTTGTTTGTCTGGCAAGTCTAGCCGCTCACACGGTTTCTACCGGAGTTAAATTAATTAAATTCTTTATTTATTTTTTATTTAATAAATACAGTCGAGTTTATGCACTGGTTTCGTAAGGTCGTTTTAAGCTCCTAATCAGTAATCTATTTTTGGACATCTTTACCGAGCTCGACTAATTTATCACCCGAACGAGAGTGTAAGCGTTGCGTTCGACTTTGCCCATTGGGTTAGGTCTGGTCTCTCGCTCGTGCATCAACTGTCAGCGGGAGTTTAGAAGTAAACAACAACAACACACCTTCTCATTCGATGCTCTCGAAAGAGCTGTCCGGATTTGAGAAGATCAATGAAGTCGCTTGCCAATCTCCAGCGGAATTACGAGCCAAGCCAATGAGGACCTGGTACAGTGTTATAAATGACAACATTTTGGACACACCCAAAATTGTTGCTTTATAAAGCCGGTTTGTGGGAATTGTGCCGGGGACCGCCCTACCAACTCCAAATCGTGTGAGTCGCATCTCAACAACCAATGCTTGTGTGCAAACTGCGGAGAAAATCACCATGCAGGTTTTAAGGGCTGCAAAGTTAGAATGGAACTGAGCAAAAAAGTCTAAGGAATACAACGAAAACTAGGACTAACAAAAGCCGACACGGTCAACTATTCTCGACAGTTACCAGAGACGGCGTATCTTATGCAGATATGGCAAGAAACAGACAGACAGTTCCACATGTACCTGAAAATTACCACAACCCAAATCGGAACTTGGCTACCTTGGAGAAGGCAATCATTGATATAAATGCTAGGCTGGATCAACTCTTCAAGATAGTTATGGAAACTAGTTCAGGTTCTTATTTTTAGGAAATGACACTCTCAGCTATAAAAATCGGATTATGGAATGCAAGAGGAATATTCAACAAAAGCGAAGAACTTCGCCTTTTCCTATTGATAACCCAGTTGATATAATGCTCATCACTGAGACGTATATGCGTCCCGGTCTTCCTGGTTATGACGAATATTTTGCCTATCACCCTTGCAACACTGCTAAAGGCGGTTCTGCTATTTTTATCGAGGCCAACATTACACACACTCAGACTGAGTCCACTTCGCGAACTGAGTTACAGATAGCTAGTCTTGATATCCCAACAAATGTAGGAGTCCTTAAAATAGCTTCATTGTATCTTCCTCCCAGTGAGCCTTGGACAAAGAACGATTTTGACCAGCTTCTGCGTCTCTGGGCCCAAAATTCTAAGCTGGAGGTGACTTTAACGCCAAGCCTCAATGGTGTGGCAATTTAAGCGTCTTCAAGAGGCCATAGCTTCTAGCTCTAGTCAAATTCTAGCTACTGGGGAACCCACTTTTTATTCTGTCAATACAAGGCTCACGCTAACAGCTCTAGACTAAATAAATACCAGCTATCCTCGGACCATTTGTCAATTTTTGCAACGCTTAGTCAAACTCCTCAATACAAGGCCAAACGGATATCACTTCTACCGCACGGCTTCTCCGTTGGAAAGTTTAAGGAAACCCTGGACAAAAGCATAAATCTCAACATTGTGATAAACCATCCAGATGAGCTTGAAGATGCGGTAACGCTTTTTATGGAACAAATATACACTGCTGCGAGAGCTGCTACCCCAAACCAAGGTAGCATCCGGACCGAAATAGAAATTTGCTCCCACAAAATGCATTAGTACCCTTACAGCTGAAAAGAAGAGTTCGTCGAGAATACACAAGAACAGGAAGAAGTTGTGACACAGATCGGAAAGCTCAAAAACAAAAAAGCATCAGGCGAGGACCTTATAGAAAACAAAACGCTCAAGATTCTTTCTACAAAAGTTCTGTTGTTCAACAGCGTCTTAAGGCTGAGTCACACCCAAGTACATGGAAAGGTGTTATTATCACAATGATCCTGAAGCCTGGAAAGCAACCCACCGAAGTAGACGCATATAGGCCAATAAGTCTATTACCTGCACTGGGCAAAATGATGGAAATAGTAATACTGGCTCGGATTCTTAGACTTGAAAGTGTGAGCAGAGCTATTCCAAGGAGGCAGTTTGGTTTCCGAAAAAGTCACGGCACCCCTGAAAAGCTTCATCGCGTGAATAATTTCGCTCTGGAAGCCATGGAAAGCAAAATGTACACACTTGCTGTGTTTATGGATATCCAACCATCCTTTGATAGGGTATGGCATGACGGCCTCCTAGGCAAGCTAAAGATAATACTTTTTTATCGGATAGAAAATTTAGTGTTATTGTCGGTGGTGAAAAGTCG